TAAAACTTTCCTTTTTGATTAAGCTTATAGTTAGAGTGGCTCAGCTTATCCTAAGTATCTCTATAGTTATGCTGCTATAGGCTTAGACTTCTGGAGAAAATTAGGATCCCTTTTCATCATCCTGCTTCATTCTATCTCTATCATCCCATTCTACAGTATTTGTAAGTTCAATCTCTAACGTTATGCTCTCTCTGCTTTTCTAATCAAAGTACCTTCATCTAGTATGTTCCTGTTTGGCTGTGATACCATTCTGGAGAGAAATATCAGCTGTGCTGCTGCCATCAACAACTCTATTTGATGTTTTTTCAGTGTAGTCCTGTTTCTCTGACTGTGACTAACTGTATGTGCTCTCTTTCATGCCTGGCTGTGTGTTTCCTGGACAGGGCCGCCGGTGGAGCTGGTTGTTACGTTTTGTATCTCTGCTTCTTTCTGTACGTCTGCTTCTGTCTCCTTGAACCCCAGTCGGCCTCAGCAGATGGCTGCTCACCCTAAGCCTGGTTCTGCTGGATGTTTCTTCCAGTCAAAAGGGAGTTTCCTCTCCACTGTCGCTACAAGCATGCTTGGTGTGAGGGATTGCCTTGGAGTCAATGAGTTGATGCAAAAAAACTGGTTTACCTTAGATAGAAAACTTGAAACCAATCTGACTGTTTGATCTTGTTTAATTGTTTCTTTAAAGTGCCTATAGATGACGTGTTGTGAATTGGCACTATATATATATAAAGTGAAGTTAATTGAACTACGCATTTTAAATATTATTCCATTAGAAAATTTTCTTCTTTTCCATTTCAAATCAAAGGAAAATAGATTTACTTAGAGAGAAGACAAATGAACTACATTTCATGTCCAGTAAGAATGTTTGTTGTTTTCTGGTTTGGGTCTTCAGGTTATTATAACCAGAAGAATCGAAGGCCTAATCTACTTTTCTCAAGCGACCCAAAGCTGTTGAAGTTCAGTCAGAAGAGGAAATGCCCTGAGTTAGAGGAAGCGGGAAGAGACGAAGCGGCCTGTGATGGAACTGTGAAATAAAGCAGCACAGTTCTCCTTCATATAAGCTCAGCTTGTAAATTTTACTGGTAGGGATCTTCTTTTGGTGCATGAAGGAGAAATAAAACCATCATGATGTGCAGAAAAACATCAGTCTTGAGCCATATTTTTTTTAGCAAAAAGTCACATCTCTTTATTTTAGGAATCCTGGTTCTTTTTCCTGCACTGGTTCTGCTGCAGCTGCAGGCAAACGTTCTGCAATTACAACCAATGATCACCTCCATTGAGTCGTGTCCTTTAGAACATGTGCTGCTTGGAGAGCAGATCTAGTCTGAGATGTGGAAGGTCCGGTGCTGGGATTCTGAAAGCAAACAGAACCAGGTCCAGTGTTCTGTGTCACAGTGAAAGATGTCCACAAACAAACTGAATCAGGTCAGCGGAAAGAAATCTTTACAGCCTCTTCTTCTGTGGAGGCGACATTTAGCATCAAAGGCAGAAAATAAATTGACAATGCATTGAATTATGAAATTGATTAAAATGATTCTGGAAGCAATAAGGATGTTTAAAAACAAACCTTAATAATCAAGCTTTGACTGCAGCAAAAACAAAATCAAACAAAACACACATCATCCAATTTTTAATTAAGGAAAAACTAAGAAGGGGAAAAAGTCTAAAAAAATGTTTTAATCAATAAAAATTAAAGTTTTTACTTTAGTTTATAAATCCAATATTTCCTTTGCAACAATTTTTGCTTTATATTTTTATAAAATTCCATTTTAAGTCGAAAGTATTTTTACTTTTTTCATATTTGGATTACATCTACAAAAAGAGCAGACACATACAAACACATTAAAAAAAAACCCTATTTGATAATTTTCTTAAATTTATATTAGGTCAAAGTTAAATTGTAATATATATTCCTTTTTCTTTTTGCTAAGGAAGTGTTCATTAAAAAAATAATAAATAAACAAAGAAAAATATAAAAAATAAATATAATTAGATAAAAGAAAATATAATTTATATATTATAATGTAGTAATATAATATACTTAAAATGACAGATACTTAAACTGTTTATTTAAATAAAGCCTTTAGGAGCTGTGAAGAAATAAAAATCACATTTCAGAGAAAACCGTGTAAACTGATTTTTCCATTAGAGCTTTCATCCTGGAGATGAAAACAAGGATTTGCTGGATGCTCGTAGGAAACTTGTTCCAGTGGAAATCTGAGTCCTTAGAGGAGCGGCCACCTCCTTACGTCTCACCTTTGGCACAAAGGAGGAGAAACTCCTCATCTGTGACCCTCTGCTGAGGGAACCAGAAGTCAGAGGAGCTGCAGGTCAGGTAACCTTCTAACATCAGCTGAACCTGAACCAGGAGCAGCAGGCGGCTGAAGGAGTCAGCAGAGGGAACCGGAACCGTTTGGCACCTTGGTTGTATTGTTGGTTCCAGAACTGACTCTGACTGTAGTTAACGAGCGGACTTTAACGAACGCTGACAGAATAAATCACAAGGAGAGTTTTACAAACAACATAGGCAGGAACAAACATGACCAAGGAGCCGCAGTCAGAACCGGGCAAAGCTTTGGGACAGAACTGAACCAGTGAGAATAAACGAAGAATCTGGACCCAAAACCCCCTGAAAGGTACCAGGAGGTCCATCTGAGGGCTGGAACGGTCCCTCACTGGACCGGCTGCTGGGAGCTGAAATCCTGTTGTCCATCCGCCGGGCTGGGTTATCTTTGGTGGAGAAAAGTGGTGACATCACGCAGCTTCACCCTGCAGATCTTCAGCATCACTTCCTGAGGTTTGGATTTTAACATCCGGGGCCATAAAGCTGGATCTGATTATCGTGGCAGTTATCTTTTTTAACTAAACATCTTAAAGTTTAAACCTTAACAGTGTCAGTATAAATAGGGTCCAAGCTTTACAGTCGGACCTCCTCAGAGCTAAGATGTTGGGACCATCCTGGACGGCGCTTGGAGGAGCCTCCTTCACGCCCTGTGGAAGTCCTCATGTCTCAGGATCTTGTAAAGGACCCAGTAGAAGATGTTGAAGAAGAGGAAGGCCAGAGGGAAGCCGGCTCTCGACACTGTGTCGATTTTTTTGGCTCGGTCGATGAAAAGCTTCCTCATCTCCTCCGTGCTTTTACCTCCTCCTCCTCCTCCTCCTCCTCCTCCAGGTGGATTCTGGGAAGTACTGACTGCTCCTTTAGGGGTACCCAGCACTGCTACGGCGTTGTTGATGTTGGTTTTGGAGTCCTTGGTGCTGCTGGGGGTGGATGTCACAGCAGCCGCGGAGGTCGGCCGGCTCTCATGGATCTCTCCTTCCTGTAGGAGAGGTGAGGAGGAGGAAGGAGAGGAAGAAGAGGTCACAGTTTAAATCTTCATGTTCAGCTGAAACCAAAAAGGAGTTAAAATACACTGGTTGGATTTTAAATATGTATAAAGATATATATTTTTCTAATTTTAATGATCATGTTTACTTAAATCTGTCAGGGCCATGATCCGGCACCTCAACACCTCTGAGGCTGATTTTGTTTCTTTAAGCAGATTTCAGTACAAAATGAATAAAGTAAAGAAATGTTAATATTTGATCTGCAGAGTTAGCTGCTGAAGGGACATATTTTAACACATTCAGATTATCGGGAACAGATCTATTGAGCTGAACAGGTCTGTTTCATCCATGGGTCTGATTTTTAAACACCTGAAGGTTTGATGTTCACCTGGAAAACAATGTAACAACCATGAACATCATCCTGTTTAGATGGGACCTTTGTTCTTTGATCCCTGAGAGTTTTTGGTGTAAAATATGTAAATGGACCTAAACAAACCCCTATTTAATTCGTCGTAATTGGACTTTGATTTCTGGAGACAAGTTCTGATGAAATTAAAGGACATTAACAAGGACCTGATACAAAGAGAACACCACTGTACTTCACCCCAACTCTAAAACACAGAGGTGGAAGCATCAGGATGTGGGAGTGAATTACTGAAAAGATTTACTGAAAGATGGACTGATGAATGGAGAGAGATTTGTTCCAATATTAATAAAAGCAAAACACATTCCAGAAAAAGAAAAATGAAAAAGAAAAAAGTTCTAAACGTGGAACTTTAAAAAGATTTCTCTATCGATATGGTTTTGAGAGTTATATTTATTGCATATCCAAAAGTTCCAACAAAATTTTCTACGGTTTGCTATTTTTGTCAATTTTGCCTTTAAAAAATGTTGCCGGAAAAAAGGAGTTTTACCAACTATAGTTTTTAAAAACCCTGTTTTAAGGATTTCACCCACATCATTTCTGGGCGAAATTTCAGGGTCACAAAGTTTCATTATTGAAACACATTTTTTTTTTCTTCATCTCATTTTTCAAACATCTTCTGTGTTTTCAATAATGGTGGAACAAATTTGTCTCCAAGGCAGAACGTTACATGGAAATATTGAATTAAATCTGAAGGCTTTAAGAAAGTTTAAGCTAAGGTTTTGAACATGATGTTCTTTAGCATTCTAAGTTAAATACAAGATGTCTGCAGGACAAGAAAGTCCACATCTTAGAGGTTTAATCTGAGCCCTGGAGAACATTTGAGAGCACTTTTTTTTTTTTTTTTTTTTCCGGCACAACCAACATTTTTTGATTTTGAGGAAATAATTTCTACTGTTATTCTGACACTCAACGAAGTGACATAACAGTGCAACTCCTGGCTGAGCAGGAATAAGAAAGGCAATCAGACACAGAGGGACATGAAAAGTTATGTCCATTTAATGGGTTTATGTGAACATCTGGTTCTGAGAATAGGGGTTCTATAGATATATATTATCTTTTTTTGAGAATATATATCATGCTTTCTACTTGTCTTAATTTACTTGGAGATTATTGCATTTATTTCTCAGTGGAATCTTCTTAAAGGATGATTAATAATCTAACAGAAACGGCTGTTGCTCTGAATTTCAATCAAAAAGTTGAGAAAGACTTTTAGTCTAATTCTAACATCATAAAACTTAGTAAGATGGACACTTTTTGCAGTGCAAAGCACAGATCACCCTATTTGAAATTCTAACCTACTGCTTTTTACCCAAATCTTTGTATAACGCTTCAGGTAACCTCCAGTATCTCTGTGATGTATTTGCAGAGTAGAGCTGTTCCAGGTTCACATGAATACAGAGCTATTCGAGATGTTCCATGGCAGAAGAAAGGCTGAGTATGGAAGCCAGGAAGCAGAGGTTTGAAGGAGTGAGAGGAGTATTAAGGAAAATATTCAATATGCGGGTAAAAGTAGTTTACTTTTTCCAGTAATACTTACATACAGTATGTCTAGTTTAGGGACTAATTATCAAAATTAAAATGTTGTTCTTTTTAAACTCTTTCTGATCAGGTCTTAGATAACTTCTCATTAAAAGAATGTTTTCATATTTAACAAATTTTATATTTTTTTTTTATTATAGCTGTTTTTCAACAATTTATTATTCTTATTTATGTCAGTTATTTTATTTGTTGTTATTTTTGCAGTTTTCTGCTGCGGTTGAATTATTAAATTACGCCTTCACTGTAAATACATTGCATATTACTTTGTGTTCTCACTTTTGCAGGCACCATAATATAAGCAGTTTATTGCAGGTGTGTGAATAATCTCATCATCTGACTGTTGAACGCAGTGATCCATATATCTGGCAGACATGGAGGGTCTATTAAAGACATAGTAGCTCACTGAAGCCTGTTGTTTCTGGCCAGTAGGGGGCACTCTGTCTGTAGTCATTGCTGCACCTTGCCCCAGCCCCTGAAGTGCTTTGTTCTGTGTTATAAAGTCACATGAAAAAAAGTATTCTGCTGCTAGTTTTTACTTAGATATGCAGTTTAACTCAATTTGTTCTTAATAAAGCCACTGATTCATCCCAGACGTTAAATTCTACAGAGTTCAGATAAAAAGGAAGGAAACATAATAAAACCGCAGATTTATGAGGAGACACATACAGCGGCTTGGTCAGATCTTCACATTGACACATGCAGACGTGCACAAACACATGCACAGTGGCTTTACCCTGTGGGGACTGCTGTAGATGTTGCTCATTGATCCATATAGAGGCTCTGCCGGTTTGAAGCCATTGTCGGCGCTAATGCGGCGCAGGGACTCGGCTAACTCCTCTGGATCGACGCCGCCGTTCTACCGGCCGTCAGCATGCAACAGTAGTGGTCAACAGACGGAATCGTGAAAGAAGAAACACATGATGTGCACAGACAGCAATGGATCATCCGGTCGTTCAGTCAACACTGGGTTTTCAACCAGTTGGCAAACGGCTAATGGAGTCCCACAGGGGTGTGATTCTGGGTCATCTTTGCTCTGCTAAATAAAGGGTCTAGTAGCAAATGGTTTCAAGAATCACTGAGCTGCTGAGAATTGATTCAACATTTTAGATTTCAGGGCTGAATTAAATTTCAGAAAGTGTCGTTCTGATCCTGTCCTCACCCTCTCATGATCCTCTGTCTTCTCTTAACACCTAAAATCATTCAGATGGTTTCGATACCAAGCAAAGAAGAGTTGCATTTGGGTCTATTTTTTATATTTCTGTCTTTAAATTAGGCCTAATATCTTAATGTAAATGTACCTGTACAAATGCGGATGAAATGACTTCTGAAGGTTACTTCCTCTGGACAAGTCTCAGCGTACATTACCTGTATTTAACACCAATAATATTACTTTACTTTTCTGAGATTTGATGGAGTCTTGAATTTCTTCTGGAGTAAATCTAAAATGTTTCTACCCCCAAAATAAAGGGAAAGGTTTTCTTTGAACTTTTCTACTTCAGAAAAGTTGAGCCCAGGCTGTAGAACTACACAATAAAGCATATTTGTATTCTTGATGCCTGTTTAAAAGAAAGAAATGTGCATGAAAATTCTGTAGCTAGCTTTCTGACTGTTTTAGTTCTTATGGGTTTCACATGATGTTATGTTATTGTTTTCATTAAATGTGCCCAAAAATCTAAGACTTGCTCAAGGAACCAAAGGAACAAATCAAAACATCTAAGAGTTCAGGCAGCCATCTGGTTTTTATCCCTGTCTGTAAGAAAAGCTTTTCAGACGTCAAGATCTGATTGAAAAAAGAGGGTTGACTGAATGCAGGGTTGATCCTTTCCAAACAGAGATCCCAAACATGCACTGACAACATGCTCATCCTTTGTTTGGATGGCCTTCTGTCAGAGAAATAACACAGCTGTGGAGAGTTAAAACGCACAGAGATGCAATTAAACTTAAACTGGATCGTGCACACACACAGGAAACATGCACACATCAGGGATGTATAGGATTTAACATTTCAGATTTCCACCTCAACCAAGATTATCTTTGAACCAAGCAGTGTAATGGCAGAATACATCCAGAAGGGGGTGGTGTGTGTGTGTGTGTGTGTGTGTGTGCTGCAAGAGTCTTTAACTCTCCATAAGCCTCTCTGGTCAAGAACGTACCTTATTCTTGCTCTTGTTTTGCCGCCTGAAGCGCAGCAGCTCTTTGTGTTGTCTTGACACAAAGTTGACGGCTGCGTATTCCAGCAGGGCAGAGAAGACAAACAGGAGACACACGGCCATCCAGATGTCGATGGCCTTCACATAGGAGACCTGAAAACACACAAACAATCAGAGAAGACCTGAAAGCAGGAGCAGGCAGTCTGAAAAAAGGTTCTCTGGGTGAGAACTAAAGCATTCACCACTTACATTGTAGAACATGATCATACTGCCAGATTTCCAGAACAAAGAAACAAAAAGCATAACAAAACCAAACAAATAATAAAAAAAAAAGTCAGTTTGTGAAAAGGTAACTCTCATTATCTAGAAGGGAGACACATTTCCTTCATCAGCTTGTAGAACCAAAATAAGCAGCCATTAAAAATATATTGGGG